TTCCGCCACCACTCCATGTGTAGTTCCTTCCACTATCAAGGGAGAGGACCACAGGTTCCTCCGCCACCGACGGACGCCCTTTGGAGCTTCCGCTGCTACCATTCGCAACTGAACCAGACTTTTGAGTCTGGTTCGGTTCAACAGTAGACTAACGCAGTTTCTTACCCTCAAAAGCCACCCTTCACACCCACGCAACCCCGAGCCAACCCTAGCGTTACTTCTGCCTACGCCGCCAACACTGACGCTTTCTGTCGCTGCCTCCGTTGTAGACGCAGCGGACCGAGCCTTCCTTTATCACCGACGGACGGGTCTGACGGCCTAGCAAGAGCCCATAGCTTCCTTCCGCCGCCACTCCATGTGCAGTTCCTTCCACTGTCGAGGGAGAGGACCACAAGTTCCTCCACCACCGACGGACGCCCTTTGGAGCTTCCGCTACCGCGGCTATCTTAAATGAATCTTCCATGGTTGCTACTACCAGCTTCTCACTACTATTGCTGCCACTTTCCACTATCGGTTTCCATTGTCAGTGACCCTTTAATCCCCCTCTATTACTGTTAACAATTATTTTCTTCCCCTCTAACTACTGTTAACCGTAGATTTTTAATTTAATATCATATTTTTATTAAATAATCATATTTATTAATTATATTTTATTTTTTTATTTTTTTTTATATTTTAGAGCACCTCACTTCACTCGAGCGAGCACCTAGCGCCTTGGGCGTTTTGAGACCCTAGCGCCTAGCGTTTTTTAAATCACTGCAGTATACCCTGATGTACCATGTGTTGGTATTCTCGGTAAGACTTGGTACAACTCAGAACATACCGTACCGACTATTGGTCGGTATACCAGTACGGACCGGTAAGACAAACCATGCTTCAGAGGCTCTACCAAACACAAACAATATGAACTTTGTTATAGACTCTGCCATTGGTCCACAAAAGAGTTGAGTCACATTAAGTCATAAACCAACTGAATATCCATGAAAAGCAATCATAAAATTTATCTCAATTATATAGTTGAACTGCATAGACTTTGCAAAAAGAATGAAAAGAAACAAATAACAAGGAAATAACTTAAAGTACCATAAATGTGTCATAAATTTCTGATGTAACAAAAAGAAAACTAATAGAAGTGAAAGATCAGTATTTTTAACAAAGACAACATCAAAACTGCAGTCACCTGAAAGAAAAACATACAGATAACAGGGATGAAGATAGCCAATGATCATTGTGCTACTTGCTTCTGTGAAGATAATGCTCCAGATGTGATAACTTCCAAGTTTTCCAATTCAATGTGATAGGATTGCAAAATATGTTAACATAAGTATCTACAGAACTGATTGGTAATCTATATACATTGTTGAAATAGAGGAAAAAACTAAGAGGGAAAACATAAGCAAGCCAATCAAATCAAAAGAAGAAAATGACAGGAAACAGTAATGCTTAATGTACATTCTGTATCTCTGAGAGCATCCATATAGGAAATACAACCAAATATTTAGCAAGCATAAACATATTTTAGTCTCAGCCTTGGTTATCCATTTAGAAAATCTTGTTATAGTATTTTTGTTTTGACATATTAATTATAATAGACGTTAGAATATCAAATGATCATCTTAATGCTGTTAGATTTAGTGCTGAATAATCCAGTCCAAAAACGTAGCTCAAACTAAAAAAAATAAGAATTACATCTGTCTCACCTGTGCCTATAAATTCAAACATTAAGGTGGGAGCTTCAGGTAAGTTTTTCCCATTTGCTATGTTAATTGCCTTTACTTGAACCTCATCCAAGAGCTCCACCCTTGAGACCTACTTATGGAGGAGATGAACTTTAGTAATTCAAGTTGGACAACATATATGCATATTTCAAGCACCACTAACATCTGAACATACTCATATATGCATAATGCACATAGGGCATGACATTCACTTGATAAATCTGCACCAAAAAAGAAAAAAAAAAAAAAAGCAAAAAAAGAGTATATTCCAATTCCCCATGTCAAGGTCTTCTTGGCCATACCTCAGGTTGTGCAGCAGATACTGTAGAAAGTAAAATGTACTCATCTGATGCAATTTCATCGGAACTAACTAATGAACTTCAAAATTTTGCAAATTTACAAAACCCAATTTTTAGTTTGTATTTTTCCCATTTGGATCACCATAATTTTCATGAAGTGATGGCCTATGTCAGCATTTGTACAAATAGCAAACAGAACCTTCCTTTTAAAAGACTATGGACGAAGAACTCGATCCTTACGAGTTAGTTGTCAAGGATTTCAGAAAGATGTTACCATGTTCAGCTCATAATACACTATTTGTAGTTCCATAGGTCACCATACTGGCCGGTTCCAAGATATCTTATCTGATCCTTATCCTTACAGGTACCCATGGTTTGCAGTACCGGTCCGTACCGCCCGGTACGGGCGGTACGTACCGGTCCGATAGACTTTCGGTACGCGGACCATATGTTACCGTTCCGACACTGTAGCAGTACTGTAGTAGTAGTGTAGCACTGCTACAGTGCTCGACACGCCTGAATATACCGCTCGGTACACCTGGGTGTACCGAGCGGTTATACCGTACCGTACCGGTACCGAGCCCAGATCGAAACTCCGGTACGGTACAGTATTGCGAACCTTACAGGTACCAACCAAGGCCAATCTAGTTTCAACTGATTTCCTCGCTTTGTTGCTACATCTGAAATTCAGAGTTCACCACACAGCCTATTTAGGCCAAATCCAATTGATATAACAATTTTAAAAAAGAAGAAATCGACCAATTCTGTGGTAGCAAAAATTTGCCTATAAATTGTTCAAAGTTGATTATATACTTCATTGTTTATACTCGGTTACAATACATCCTGAAATATTGGATATCAAACACACAAGTCAACTGCATATCACATATGTAATAGGTTGTACCATAATCATAAGCACAACACCACTGCTTATTATAACATCATTGAAGATGAAAAGAATTCTTAAATCAATCTATTGAATTGAAGTTCATACTATGAAGTATACAGAAACATCTCAAATGAGAGGCTAAGACATGAGAGTAAAATGACTTGTGAAGCAACCAAGAAACTGTAGGATGGGATGAACCTTCTCAGGTGGTCATATTTTGGAACTGGAACACGTCATACACAATGGCCAGTTAAATTGGATGTACATGCATCAGAGGACATCACAAAAATATCAAAAATGATGTTTGCGTAGGACAAAATCTAGCTCGAGTATTATCTACAAACAGGAAACAAGTGGCAGAAGGTTTTTTAAACTGGTCAGACCTTACCAGTATGCCTGGACTGACAGAAAGCCACTAAATGAACCAACCCATACGAAGCTTAAACCTGTTCATGGTCCATATGGCCCCTTTTATTATCCTTAGAATCAGGACCAACAGAAACATCTTAAGACAAAACAGAATCACTGTGCTCTCTTCAGGGCTGGACTGTTGTGACTGTGCAAGCGGGGTGACATAATGCCACGAAAGGAAAAGAGAAGAGACGAGGAAGAGGAGGAGAGGAGGAGAAAAGGAGGTTCTTTCAGCTATCACCTCCAGATTTATCTCTGGATCAATCTTTGGCTTTAAGCAAAGAAGAAGAGGAGAAAAATGGGAAAAGAAGCAATGGATCCTCTTTTGGCCTCAAACTTCACTGATCAATAAGTTATTGTTTCTTCTTCCCTCATGCTTTTATTATTACTTTTTTCTCCACTGATGCTGACCAGTACAGCAATATCATAACAATTTGATGACCTTTTGGTCAATGGTATTGACTGATATATAAAACCTTGCTTCAAAGTAATCAAAGTTGCAACACAAACAAAACAAAGGCAGTAAATTTAAATAATGTTTACCAGCATTTGCATGTGGCCATGTCTCCATGTGCCTCACATTTTTTTTTAATAGAAGTATCATGATATCATCACATAGTTCCTCATCCCTCCTAAGTAATTCCCCATTGTTTATGCCCTTCCACACCTTAAAGAGTCAAACAAAACAAGCATTTTCACCAGGCAGAAAGTCTAAATATTTTAAAATAATCAGAATTAAGGCTCACTTGCAGTTTTTGTATCATACACAGAACACACAAGAGAAGTCCCAGCAGAATTTATTTCTTTAAAGTCCAAGAGGAAACTTAAGTTAAGGCCAGTTCTCAAGTGAAGCAGCCTTAGAAAAAGACAAGGCCAGATGTTGGTCAGGCCTCAACCAATTTCGACCATTACATAAGTTTTGGTCCAAAATTAGTCGCATTTGATCATTTGGTGAAAAAGATGAATTTTAGCCAAATCATTTAGTGAAAAACTAGCTATACAGTTTTGCAAGTTGTCAATTTCAACTCACTTATTGTGCTTGTCCACTGAAAGTGCATATGATTGCCCAAAAGTCTGCAAGTACTTTTGCAGCAAGTAGCTTACTTGCAAAGGTTTGGTTATCTGCAAGTAAGTCATGTATAGATGTTTACATGCAACAACATCCCTACATACCACAAGTGAAATTGCAACCCTAAATACCACATGTTGCACCTGCAGATTGGATTACAGATTTAAATTGGATTTGGATATCTCCTCTCCCCTCTCACGCATTGTCTCCTTACACATTGTCCCCTTCCCTCATCTACCTTGATTCACACAACCACCACCTCCTCCTTCCTCTTCAAGCATTGGTTGTTGTCTTCTCTACCTTAGTTGCAACTGCAAGTAGCAACTATACGTGAAGCCGGAACAGCATGGCCTGCAACTGTTACTAGCAGCATTTACTTTTCCTTACAACTGCTGCTTGCAGGCAATTTCAGTTGAAGCAACCAAATATCCCAAGTAAAAAGATAATGATTTTTCTAGTATATAAAATTGATATCGAGCAATCCTGAATCATATTTCATCCGTGACATACTTAAAGAAAAATATCATTGGTGCTCAATATAACATAATGGAAGCATATAAAAATTCATCAACCATTAGATAAGCTTATAACAATCAAACACATTTGTCTAATTATTTGTTAACATAATAATAGTGAATATATTATTCACAATAACAAATACGATATCTTGTGCGATAACAAAGTGATACATATTAGCTGTTTTGATAAAGTAGAAGATTCACAAGTCATGGCTTTACCTGTATACCGGAAAGCATTGTGGCTATGGCAACATCAGCAGCATCCTTTATCGTTTGAAAATTGCACATAGCTACCTAATGTAGCACAGATATTTTATGGAAAACAGAAAAAGGATATCAACAATTAGCTCAAGAAAAGAACCTGAGATAGGTCAATATCAAACACATTAAAATAAAATACAGAATAACCACTAAGTCCAAAGCACAAAATATATTCATGAATAAAGTGTAGCATAGTTAAGTAACTAAGAAGATGACAACAAGGAATTATAGAAGAAACAAAAGGTAGAGAAGCTATTGTTTAACCACACACACACACGCACAAACACACCAAGTAATATATGGCCCATTTAATTTTCCTCAGCGTGGTCCATACTAATGACTGTTGTATCACCCAAAATGGTATGGGCGGTACATACTGGTCCAAGCCTGGGCCAATACGCGGACCACCCCCATTTCAAGCAGTCTAGTTAAAATAATAAAAAAATTGAATGCGTGATGGGGTCGTCTCCAACTTGGCATTAAAAAAAAGCCAAATTAGGGCTCGCGAACACGAGCCCTCTTCTCGCGTACGATGTCACTGCGTTGCTTAAACACTGCCATTGCTTTCCAGGTCACTACTTCTTCTCCTCCTCCTCTTCTATCTTCTTCTTCTTCCTTCTTCCTCCTCCACCGCTTCCTATTCTTCCTTCTTCCTTCTTCCTTCCTCCTTTGTTCCTCCATTGCCCCTTCCTCTTCCTCGCTGAAACACCAGCACATACCGGCTTATCATGTGTCGGTACATCGGTATTAACTAGTATATACTGGTCCAAATAATCACCGAAACAGGTCCGGTATCCGAAACGGCGAACCGTGGTCCATACTAATAAATTTTCTTTCATATGCCCAGGCAAGCATCTAGAGTTTGATTTTTTTTTTTACAAGCTTCAGCTTATATTCTATCATGATTCTAAACTATTAGTAAAGCTGACTAAATAACAAACCAGTTCAGTAGCAAGTCAATAAATAATGCATTGGTCAGACCATTGTACACTTCAATGAAATTTCACTAACAAGAACTCATTTACCATTTACCCGTCAAGGAATTATTACTATGTTAGACACAATGGAGCTTTCATATAGTCCTTATTGTTTAAAGACCATATGATATTTTCATAGAGAATAAGAGTACTTGCTCATTTTGTCCAAACTACCTTCAAACTTGTTCAGAGCCGAAACATAAGATTCTTGAAAATATCAAGAAGTTCACAAATCAGAAAAAGCATCATAAAGCGCATACAGTAACCGACATCAGACAATACTTTCAAAGATAGATAAAAGAATAAGGAATACCACTGAATGCTGAGGAAGTCTTTGAAGACGCAATGTAACTTCTGTAATTATACCTAGAGTGCCTTCACTTCCAATCAACAAGCGAGTCAAATCATATCTGAAATAGTAAGGGACAAAATTAACAACAAAACTTGTTGGACAACCCTTTTATGTGTAATTTGTATTCGCTAGAGAGAAAGCATGCATAGACAATATTTGACTATGTGCAAGCACATGGCTTCTTAGGGTTGTTATAATCACAACGGAAAAGGAAAAATAAAAGCCTCTTTATAATCGATACATGTATTTTAAAGATTTTCAAATTACAAACAGTTCTGGATATCTTGATAATGGATATAAGACCAACACCAATAGGGCCCAGAAATAGCAGGAGCAAACAAAAACATTGGGCATGTCAAAATGTTTGAATCATGGTCTGAAATTCTGGTACCAGTTCTCATACCAATCACAAGGTATGCTGGCATACTGAATCCGTACCGACAAGGGGGAGAGGAGGAGAAGTACCAGACAGGCTGCCATGAGTGGAACTATAGATGAGAGAGAGAGAGAGAGAGAGGGAGGATATTAAAAACCCTACGGCACCAAACTGAACCAAGCAAGAAATCCCTGGTCCACGTGCAAGTTCAAGCCCAACCAGTAAATACAACCTGTTATGTATTGGCCCCAGTGAAATTTGAAACCATACTTTCAACTACAGAAACAAACTCATTACTTGAAAAGACAAGGATGTATGTATTGACCTCCCCAAGACCCATATTGCAGGAAGCCCCATACCCCCCTTGTTGATGTAGGCATAGAAAAACTCCAAGAATTTATAGCCTCTCAAATCCTGATTGTTGCCAGATTAAAGACACAGCATTCAATTGATTTTTTGTATATATTTAATTAGTTAGTCAATGCATGGTTTTGTATCCTACATCATTTAGCTTTAGAAGTTCCTTTGATGACAACAGCTACAGATTTGGCACAAAACAGCATAAATTTCAATCATCCTATTAAACTTAACTTGAGTGTTCCTTGGAAGGAACTCTGAGAGGTCTACAGGTCCTAGTAGTGGAGAGGTACATTAATCTTTGTAAATGACCATATACTATCAACTCAAACATTACAACTCTTGCAATGAGTGCCTTAATTCTCCCTTCAAGTATAGAATTGTGCTTGTCCTAGGTTTGTACCAGTGTCATGGATAGCAAAGCATTATACAAACCATGTCTAAAGGGAATCAGGGCTCAAAGAATCCAACCAAGTAATTATCACTCTTGTTTTCTACATTTTAGCCAAAGGAATCTACAACATACCCAGCAGCACTCTTCCGAGCTCGTGAACCAGTCTTGATGATCTCACCATTTGCTAGAACAACCTGCAACAAAGACAGCAGCTTGGAAAATGCACCATCTTGACCAAAATATAAAAGCAAATAACTACCTGAAGATTGATGACATTGTCTCGCATTGTTCCATACCTAAAAACTGATAATTAATCAACTTTAACTAACAATACAGTCAGCATACATTTATGCAAATGGCAAAACTTAGCTTAATGTATCAGTAGACACTGCTGAAAGCACAATTCCATTAACCAAAGTTTAACAGAAATACCTTACAGCTAAAGAGCCAGAGCAACGAGTAGCACACATGCCTCCTATAGTAGCCCCAGGACCTGTATGCCAAGTGGTTAGATATTAGAAACTAAGCTACAACACCCACAACAAGATTCAGGGAACATCAGAATACTTCTAATCCTTGTTCCATCTATAGGCTTGGCTTTAGGAGCTAAGCTACACTGAAGTTTAAAAATGTTTAATCACAGTGAATCAACCTTCTAAACTGATCATGAGTCTATGGGCAATAGACAGCCAACAATATAATTTAAACAGCTAATAGGCCTTAGAAAAACATTAAATACTATTATGCCAAAAATCATCTCCGGACTGGAACTTAAGGAAAAGGGAATACAAGGTCAAGAAAGACATGTCTGATATAGAAGCATTCATTCATAAGTTAAATAAACAAACAAAAGACCATCCGTCTTCCTAACTAACACAAAAATCAATATGCACAAAGCTCCAGATCTTCTTGATAAATAAGCAACCATCATAAAAAAAAAATGCAATCACATCAGATATTATTTTGAAAATAGTAATGCAACCACCTTAAACAATTCTACAACAAAACTGAATCAGGACATATTACATAATAATTTACAGAAACATTTGAATGACTTGAAACTCAACATTCCAAATGAAACCAATTGTACATCTTCACAACTACGACACTGAGTAAAATTATGGCAGAAAATGAAAAGAATAAGGTTCCTTATGTGAAATCATGTAAATTGCACTATCATGCCTATTGCCTAGTATGATCATGAGTTTTGAGATTTTTTAAATTTTATTGTCAGGTTATTTTTGCCATTGGGAGGGAACTTCATTTCTGCAATAAAGATTGTAATTACCAATTTTATAGTCTCTTTCGAAGCCTAGGGATATTTTGGATAATTGAATAAGCTCACACTACAATCACAAGGTGGAACTTCCTTCCTACCTGATAGCCATTGAGACTTTTAAAATCCCTTTTGTCCAAAACACATGGCATCTACACTGAAGATTTCACTCTTTTTGTTGATTACAACGCAAACAAGCAACTAAATTTATCTTCTCTCTGGTCGCCAAAAAACAAAATAAGAAACTTAAAATTGTTCTTTGGTCATGTTCATGAATTCAATGGATTGGATATAGGCTTTAGTAAGCCACTTTACAATATTAAGCATTAGATCCCTGTTCAATGAAAGAGTACAACAGGACACCTCACTAATTCCTAGGTGTCCAGAGACAGAGTAGCACGGCATACACAGCACAGAAATGTGAATCAAAAGGATGGAAAACTAGGAAAGAGGAAGGAGAAGGGGAGAAAATATTCCAAGTTTTACTAAACACAATTGAGCCTAGTTCCATATTGGCTAAAGATTGAGATTGACGAGAATTCTGGGCAGTGATATTACATTTATAGTTGGAAACCAATAGAAACAACACCTTCTAGTCCAGAGGTTTTCATTAAGAAATTGCTGAGTACTTATATCTATTAAATGGAAGCACATACTAATTCCACATCCAGATGCATGAGATATACCAGAAACAAAGTTGTTCACCAAACAAGATCCAAATTAATAGAAACAAAGACAGAGTAGGAAGACGAATATTTAGTAACCTGGGTCAAGTGGGAAGAAAAGGCCGTAAGGCTTCAAATACTCATTCAGTTCAATCCATCCAATCCCTGGCTCAACAACTATATCCAAGTCCTCAACATTTAGAGACTTAATTTTCTGTCAAGCACAAGATAAAATGGTCATATGAAAAATAAAATTAAATGGCATTATCTGTAAGAAAGATCATTCCACTTTGAACATAATAAGTAGTGAAGCATATAAAGATGGATATGAGAAAAGCCTATCAGCTTCAAGAAACCACAAGGTGAAGAAGGCTACCTAACTATGTGAAGAGTGGAAATTATATCAAAAACATAATAAACATGTCATGGAGGTTGTACATCTATAAGTTCTATTACAGACTCTTTCTCTTTAAGTTCTCAGAAAAAATAGCTCCCCAGCAGCATTGAATTACTATGTGAGAAATTCTGGCATATTTTAAAATAGTTTCAATCACTTAACAAGGTTTTCGATTCACCCACATTGCTAGGAAGACAAATCAAAAGGAAAAAAGGAAAAAGTGTGGTTAATAAATCAAAGTGCAAACATTGAGTCAACTTCTGTGGAGGCTTTAAAAGACTATCAGGCTTAGCTCCCTTCTAGAACATAATCAATTAAAAAATATATAAAGTCTGACTATCACAAAAGAGATGAACAAACACAAAACAAACATGAACCAAAAGGGAAAAAATTAAAGTCACTAACTAAATCAATTCTTTCAGTGAAAACCGATAAAATCCAAATAAACTCGATCAACCATCCCCGCAGCAGAAACTGAGCCTGGATATATAACTATTAACAAATCTGTACAGAATGCATCTTCCTTTTAGAAGTTCTTTTATTAGAACACAAAAAAATGACATTATTCTCTCCATAAGAACTTATCTGAGAAGAAATATAAAGGCCAGTGATCACACCATTTCCTAAGATGACATCCCTTGGTATCACATTCTCCATAAGTAAACCAACCATCATCATGGTTACCTTATTGAGCGTAGCTATAAGTCTATAACCATCAGACTTGTGCCTATAAATAAGACCAGCTTTGGAAGTCCTTATTCTTGAGCTTTCCAGTATGGAATGGATCAGACTCTGACCCTGTTCAAAGTCCATCAAGCTAAGGCTTTAAAAGTTAGGATCTGCAGTATATATTGTGTCCATGCAATCTGGTCCATAGGCTAAAGGAATACTAACGTCTAACAATACCTATCTTTCCTGACCTAACCATGCTAGTAACAGCAGGGAAGAGAATCCAAAGGAACACAACAACCCATGTTTTTAGACATAATTTAGGACAGAAGCACGATGGAAGGTACTGTAGCTTATAACTGTATCAGATACTATAACATCTTCGTACGGCAGTTCCGTGAACATTAAATGTAACCAACATATATGATTATGTAATTGGAACTAATATCAATTAATTTGAGTTAAGAGTACAATATTATGTTATGGCACTGCTGCACTAGAAGCCTAAATATAGAAGATTGTAAACCTCTTGGGCATCACTCGGACCATTTTTCTCAAAATTTTCAACAATAAAGCCTCTATATTTCTTTACTTCTGCTCTTGAGAATCTACTTATAAGCAACAGTTAACGGTTAGGTACCCGAGCAAGCAAAGACAAAAGAACCAGGAAGCTTCTGCATGATCAGTCCTCCAATGCTCGATGTTTAGTTGACCCTATGCGACATTGGCAATATGATGATCAAAATGCATGAAATGGCATTGATGTAAATAATAATGCAAGCTTGGGGCAAAACTCCATAACCACCCACTTACAAGATGAATAATATTTTATGCCCTTATCCCATCAACCTTCAAGCACCAATGCCACAGCTCCATCACAACAGTGTTCCAGATCAGCCCGGAGCAATGTCAGCAGCAAGCTAACAATTTCATCAGCTGAATTTTTTTTTTATGAAGCCTCAAAAGTCAAAATGATAGAAGATTGAATTTACTGTCACTTCAGTTACAGGGCCTCAACAACTAAAGGTATAATTTCTATAGGACAGCTGCAGAAGAATGTAACTAATCCCTGAATGTTTGGCTACAAGAAGACATGCTAAAGGATGCATTACTTAAAGATCTAATAACTCCTAAAGTTTTAGTATGATCAGAGGTTGATCAATCATTAGATCAATGACTTAAGACTCTGATAAGTAACAAAACGAGTAAAGATTGACAAACAGACAAAAGTAATTATGTGCAATACCTTATGTCTACTTGAAGACCTGAAGATGGATTCCATAGGAATCAAGCGATGTTTTGATGTTGATGATATACAATTCCAAAACTGTGGCAGGATTTGATTTCTTAAATTCAAAAGACATAATAAGCAACAACATCCTTCCTTAGCATGTCGAGAGGAAAAGGAGGACAACAAAGATCAAGGACACGATCTGGAGATATGTTCCTGATCCACTATCATGGAAACAAGGAAGATTGGAGGGGCAAGGAATAACTCACAAGTGGATCGGACCTAATGTGACCCACCTAGGGTCAACCAAACCAAGACCTTAAAAGTTGGGAAACTAAAAGAGACTGAGTCAAATGATGCACACTTTCAGACCATAGACAAACTCGTTTCTAGCCTTAATCATGATACAATGGTAGGGAAAGGAGTCAAATTTAATCCTGATCAATTTAGAACAGCAAAAGCCCCTAATTTTGAGTACTAATTCAGGACAGCAAGATAAAAGGAACTATAGTGGATATTGTAGTGTTGCAGACTTAATCAAATACCATTTCTAGTAATCAATCAAAACAGTATGGTACCAATATGCCGGATGGTATACTGACCTATAATGTCTAGTATAACAAAATAAAAAGATACTAACCAATACCAGCCAATATAATCCTGTATTGGTCCTTAATCACATCTAGTAAATATTAATCCTGTTTTGCACTTGGAACTTGAAGCTTCATTCCCAGGAACCATAAGACTATACCAATTACAAGTTGAACTTTTGACACTCTCAAATGCAAGTTGTAAAATTCAAGATAACATTATGCATAATCTATTCAGTTTGGGTACAACTAGTCGATTAAAACAATAATTTGATATGGACATTTCCAGTTTCAAAACTTTTCAATTTGTGTCAAATACTTGTGGACACTTAAACATGTGATATTTGTGTAGCATGTGCAAGCAACACAGGAAACAAAAGGTACATGTGCTTTCTACTTCAAAAAGTTCAAATTTTGATTTTGAACACTAAAAATATCATAAATGATGCTTACTTTCATCAGTGACATATCAATGCATACACCTCCATGTGGGGCTAAAGTGTGGCCCTCGATTGAAGTAGCTCCTCCATATGGTACTATAGGAACCTGCTTCATTTAAAAACCTCAATAGAAGCTTAACTAGTGTACTCTGACACATAAAATGACTTGCCTCAAGTGAAGTTTTCAATCATGAATCAACTTGATTTATTTGGTCGTTATTTGAAGTGTGCATTAACATCTTGATAATGGAAGGCACTTATTAGACATGAAATGTAGTCAAGCACCAGGGTCCAAAGGTGAATGATACCTTGTACTTATTACATGCTGCAACAATTTTCTGTACATCATCCTGTGATCTGCATTAAAGAACAACATGATTAACCTTATCTCAACATTCACAAATTGAAAAAGAAGTATACAACTTTGACACGCATGCATATTCCAGCAATGTTCAATTTTGACAGCAAGAAGCATGCAAAATCTCAGATCAACTGCTTTAACTAACTAACTCAACTTCAATTTTCAATTTCAATCAATAGTGTCTAAACCTGAAAGACCATATGACTATCTCTTTCTATCTCCAAAAAATGAGATCAAGATGACCTCACACTTTGTTACAAACGATAATATCTCTGTCTCCTCTGCTTTCTAGCTCCGTGCATTCAGTTTCAGATGTATAATATAAATCTATCCTTCATGAGTCTATCTCTGCTTCATCACAATACTACGAAAAACACAGAAATATTCTGCACATAGAAAGAAAAAAGAAAAGGAAAGATGCAGCTAACGAAGCATCCGTGGTACAAATGATACACTCCATACTCCATAGACACAAAAACAACGATAAATATTTTAAATTCTTCTTAATCAGTTTCTTCACAAGTAAATAACTTCCAATAAGTAGACAATGATGTACTTCAACCTTACAAATGCTAATAATGATTCCTACCCTGGGAAAACGACCACATCAGGAACATTCACAGATCTGTGGAAGCTGTTCTGCGGCTCCCCATGAAAACGCCGTTCTTCATAGTCCACTGTCAGGTTATCCTGTGCACCAATCACCACCGCAAAGTAAATCCATAACCTCCAAAATCCAAACACTCGCAAATATATATTACTTGAAGAAAATCTTTTAGCTCTTGGATGAACTCCTCGGGCGCCTCCCGACGAGCACCCTTCACCACTAATTCGGTGCTATCCTTCCCTCCAACCCTGCATCCATGCAAACACAAAGGTCGATCCACTCCGAGTTATCGAAAGAAAGAAAGAAAGAAGCCACGAGAGGGGACTGGTGGCGGAATACCGGAGATCGATGCCTGGGTCGCAGAGGGAGGGGACGGCAACGGGATGGAGATCGAAAGCGAGGGCAGCGCCGGCGGCGACGGCGAATGGTACGAGACCGCGCGACCAGGCGAGGAGGCGGTCCCCGGAGGCACCCGATCGCGGGGGTTGGGTGGGACCGGGAGGGAGAGAGGCGCGGAAAGGTCGGCGGAGGTGGGGTTTGGAAGCGATGCGAGAGAAGAAGGTAGAGAGGAACGCCATGAGTGTGAAGGTCCACAGCTTTGGCAGTCTTTACTTGGGATTATTTGAAGTTAGTAGTTTCTGTATATATATATACATATATATATATACACATATATATATATACATATATATATATATATATGTATATATATATATATATGTATATATATACATATACATATATATATATATACATATATATATATATACATATATATATACATATATATATATGTGTGTGTATATATAAAAAAATAATACTAAATATCTTATAATAATGTGATAGTAGTTATATATAAGTTTGGATTAGTTTATTAGAAATTAACTCGTTAAGTTACACTCAATTACATATTCAATCCAAAAATAACCTGTTTAAAAATTTAATCATCCTAAACTTATAAGAAATTAAAAAATGATGCTATAGTTTACAATAAAATTAACTTGAATTACACAAGATCATATATTCAAAATAAAAATATTTTATTTTAAAAATTAATCATCCTAAATTTATATAAAAATAAAATTTATATTAAACATATTAGTATCTTATCCTAGTAATTCCGAAGAAGTTAGGATAGATTTGATAAAAATTCAAATAGTTACATTCGAGTTACACTCGATTATAGATTCAACTACAAAATATCATATTTCAAAAATTAATCATCCTAAATTAATAAAAATAAAAAATAATACTAAATATATTATCATCTCACCTTAATAGTTCTAGAGAAGTTTAGATAGATTTGATGAAAATTTAATAAGTTACACTCAATTCCTGATTTAACCTAAAAATACTCTATTTGAAAATTTATTCATCCTAAAAAATAACATTGAATATTTTGAATCATATAATTATAGTTTTGAAAAAGTTTGAATCAATTTAATGAAAATACTTTGGTTATACTTTAATAAAGTTCAACTCGATTCATTGCTACTAAACCCGACCTAATCTAAATAGATCTATCCTGAAACGTGATGCTCAAATCAAACTAGACCTATCCATAGATCTATGGCTTAAAATAACCTGATTGAATGACATTATTGAGATTTTAAAAGAAAAACACCTTGAATTCTCGGTAAAAACTATACAAGTATCATCTTGTAAAAGTTCAAGAGTATTTTTTTAGTACATTATCCTCTCTCTCTCTC